TAATATTTCTATAGGATTCCAGAAGGAGCCAAAATTTGTAGAGGTCGCTCAGAGGCCTGTTAAAAATCATATGGGCTGCTAAGAAAGTTCGTTCCGTAATGATTTTTTTTTTAAATTTCAAACTAGTAATTGACAGAAGAGTTCCATTTTGCAGTCCAACATAATCAAAAGATTGTGCTTTCGATTTAAAAATATTAGTTCCTAGGAAGACTTAATGGCATTTAAAAATAAATATAAACATCATTAAAGCACCCAAATGAAAAAAAATGCCGGCCATCTTGTACATGTGTGAAAATGTAGGATAAACTAGATACGATCTCGTTGCGAGCAACGAGAGGTCTTCCGTCCGATTCAGGAAAAAACCCCTCGAAAATCGAGCTGAAAAGTGATAAAAAAAATTGCCATAAAGAGGATTGAATCCAGGTCGCCAGCGTGAAAATCCAACGCGCTTTTTTCTCTTTCATTCCCAACGCGCTTAAATTACGCTACTGGGTCAACTACTCAGAATGTTTTTGTATATACTTCTTTAACAATACACCTGTCTAAGAACTTTGAAAGGCGCGCCACTATCCATAATTTCGCGCCAAACGCCACGAGTAAATCTTCGCGCCTTTTCTTTGGAATGTTCCATGAAATAGGTGTGACAGCTTCGATGAAATTAAGAAAAAAAAGAACGTTCTTATAGCCTAAATTTCGAGGTTTCAACAGTATATTTAACACTTTGTACATATTCTATATCGTAGGTAAGTAACACTAAAGACGTGAAATAGTTATCATTTTTAACTATTTTAAATTTCCCGTTTATCCCCAAAGTGAACTATTCCGTTTAGTTACACCTTACTGAAAAGGTAGAAACGGTTCGCTGAAAACCCCAAATGTCTCGCCCTACGACGGTCAAGGAACCAGATACCATATATGTTCAATAGCTTTAAATATCTTTGAGAAAAGAATGTAAATATAAACTCCATTAAACGATCTATTCAAATATGATTTTCTTATTTTTCTCTTGTTTGTATAATCAGATACAAGTGTGCATGGGAAAACAATAGTTAAGCTTTATACTTCATATATACATCGATATTGTTTCTTGAAAAACTATTTCTTATAACTATGATATACGATCTGTTTTTCCGTCGTGCAAAACAAATATTTCGTATTTCATTTGCACTTTTAGTCCTTTCTTTCTTTGACAACTAACCAAAACCAATTATAGAAGACGTCTGAGTAGACCTTGGATTAAATTTAAATTTGTTACGTAAGTACGACGTGACAATCAAAGTATACCTTTATATTTCATTTATCCTTACGTTACTTTCGTTCAAGCAAACGCTCGGCTGCCTCCATAAACCCCTATTGCGAAATGTCGGAGTGGACAGAGACTGCCGCCATATTGGACTCGCTTCAGATTTTCAAATGCTAATATCTAGAGTTTAAATTTTTAAATATTCAAAAAAATTATATAGTAAGCATCAATGGAAGGGTTTCTATTAAGATTCCAAAAATAAATTAAAAATATTGAAAAACAAAAAAGTTAGAAAATACATTTTTTTTTACCAGCGTATCGATCCTAGTGAGCTGTAGTTTTTGCAGTAAACTATGATAAGATATATCAATAATCATTGTTATTAACCCATCCCCCCTTTAGCAACCCATTTCTGTTGAAAATCATGAAAGTCTTCGAGACAGGTCTGTAACACACATTTTTCACAGGACATGATTTCAAAAGAAACAGACTGTAGCAATTTCCTGTTTACTACCAATTTCATTTCTACAACCGGTTCTACCCTATAACCTTTGAATAGGTTAACCTAAACCACGTGTCTTGAATTTAAATCACAATAACATTAGAAGGGGGTGAAAAAGTACATCTGTGAAATATGAAGGTCCCCTAGCATCAACTGTTCGAAAGTAGGTTAAACTCCAAAGCCAACGTAAAAAGGTCAAATTATTGGTATCCAGACAAAGAACATGTCACAAAGAATAGCTCTGTGAAATATTAAAGTCCCCTTGCACTAACTGTTCAAAAGACCAAAGTTAGAGATTTTTTTAAGGGGGTCAAACTTTCTAACTATAATATCATTTTTGACCTTGTGACCTTGACCTTGAAGTTTGAACTACTTTTCAAAAATTAAACTTTTGGTTTTGATTGAAAAGAGACAGGGCTTTCATATTTCACACGTGCATTACCTGTAACAAACTGTTTTCGAGCATACTATAATTTTTGACACTCAACCTTCATATTTGATCTAATTTTCAGAATTATAACTTTGGTGATTACTTTTTGAATGACACAAGATTGGATGTTCAAATTTTACACAATATACCATGAATAATTGTTCCAATACACTAAAACAACGAAGATGGGGGCAACAATTGCTTGTTATCTCAAATATTTACCAATTTCACAATGAACTTCTTTCCCAGTGTCATCGTAGAAACGAGTGACGCATGCGCCGCAGTAGTCAGGAAGACATTGGCTATCTGGCTTCGACTGACAAACAGTGATGGATTCATTGTAAATGCAAGGATCAGTGCAGTTAGTGAATACGTGTGTTCCTGGTGGACACTTCGCTTTTGGAAAAGAAGAATACGTTAACATCAAAATAGCATCTTCATATATGTATCACAATTTTCCTGTTTGGTTACAAATAATTATTTATCTTACGTTGTGTTATGAGGCTTCCAGCACAGAAGACTGCGATGGATAAAAGAATACAATGGATAGCTAGTGCCCGGAGATCCATGTTCTGTAAATTGAACAATCCAGTAAAACAGAATGGGATATTAGAATAAATCAACACCTGGCCGAAAGATTATACCTGTAGTAAAGAAAACTAGATACTGCATTCATGTATATAACGAATTACAGCATAAACCATATTGCTGCATAGGTATTTAAAAAAAGGTACTTGGAAATTTTTTCACCTTGTTAAATTACTTTTTCACAAGCATTGAGAGAGTATTGCACAAGCAATACTAGTCCCAATCGGCAAGTGTAATCAGGTTCCCATAAAAAAAGAAAATATACTAACTGCTTCAAATGATTATATTGTAGCAGAACAAAATGCAAACGTGGTCTTACACTCTTCAAGATAAATTCATATACATGTATTAAAAATCAACTCAATGTCTGCAAGTATCTAGAAGAAAAAAAACATGCAGAAAAACCTTAACATGTTTAAAATGAGAAATTCCGTTATTCGGTCAAAAATCACTGATAGACAGACACGTTCGTGGACAGATAAAAGGACAGCAAGTCATCTGAAAATGAATTTAAAGGATGCTGGAGTTTCTTTTGACATTTGTGTAGTCTGGAGACCAGATCTTCCCACAAACTATATGAAGTTCAATGGGCATACTAATAGTGCTACTTTATTAGCTGACCTGTTTTTATAAGTCCCCTACCGGTGAAACAGGAGGGGACGATTTAGGTTTCCTCTGCGTCTGTCCGTCCGTCCGTCCGTCTCTGTCTGTTTCTCTGTCGGTATGTCCCACTTGATTTTCCGAACTTTTTTTTCTAACCGCTTTTAGATATTTAGCTGAATTTTGGTATGCGAGTATATCTTGATGAGTTACAGATCAAGTTTGCATTTCCTTTTTTCTAAATGCTAACAGTAGATATTGTGCTGATTTTTGGTATGTGACTTTACCTTGATGAGTCATAGATTAAGTCTGCATTTCGTTCTGCTTCATTGATTTTGGTCGGAATTATAGAATTTCTAATATTTTTATAATTTGGTTCACGATCGGGTTCTGCTGCACTAAATTAATGTTTCAAACGAGATTGATTGTTAAAAATTATTGATAATTGCAGCCCAGAGGACCAGGTTGTTCTGTACATATATGTTTAAATTTTGGTGTCTGGAATTGAGGTGGGAGAAGTTATTCAGAATGAAAGGTTATCTAAACGTAAAAAAGATCATAGATCAGAATGTTATAAATTACGAAATACATAATATATTTACTTTCATTACGTGAATCTGTAAAAATATATTTTTTCATATTTCATATATAATTTTGCTTATCATTCACCATCGAAAAAACGACAGGTCCCTTTTTTTAAAAATAAACATCGAATTTTACTTATTCATAACACAGTTCGTGTTTTATATTCTTTAAGTGAAATATATTTTTGAAAATAGGCGACTATTTGTAAGAACCAGGCAGGGGGTGATTCATGACCACTTCAGATTTTTACAAAATTTTAATATGTTGCTTCATGGACCAAGGGAACATCATTGGACAACATAATTTTTTTGGCCAGCCTTTGTTGCCATGGAAACAATGCACCATGTAAATGCACATGGCAACCAAGCAAAAAATTGAAAAAAATGTGAATTTAGCCATTATTGAACACAGGAACAGAGCTTTTTTGATGATAGTACCATAAATAAATCTTTTTTTCCTGAGAAGTACATACAAAATGATAAATGATTACCATAAGGATAAAATTATATAGGATTTATTAAAGGTGCTGAATTTCAATTTAACATAGGTCATTTCATAAAATTCACTTTTCACAATATTTCTTCAAATCCAACATATTTTAGAAGCATATTAAGAAAAAGGCCCGCATGTTAAAGAAATCTGATAACATGGGATAGAAAGAGCACATTCTTAATTTTAATAAAATTAAATAAAACCCATGGGTTTTTTAAAAATATTCTGTTACCATGGCAACGAAATGTCACAAAAATTCATTTTTCACAATAATAACCGTTTTTAGGAGCATAGTAAGAAAAAATCCCACATGTTAAAGAAATCTGATAATGTGGAATAGAAAGAGCACTTTCTTAATTTCAATAAAATTAAATAAAACCCATGGGTTTTTAAATAATATTCTGTAACCATGGCAACAAAATGTCACAAAAATTCATTTTTCACAATAATAACCATTTTTAAGAGCATAGTTAGAAAAAATCCCACAAGGTAAAGAAAACTGAAAGCGTGGGATAGAAAGACCACAATCCTTATTCTAATAAAATAAATATTAGATAAAACCAGTGGATTTCTCATAAATTTTTGTAACCATGGTAACAAATTATTCTGGAAATGCTTTTTTAAATAAATTGACTTTACAAAATCTCCATGAAATACAAAATAATTATTGACTAACATACATGTATTATTTTCACAGTTTATTGTAAATGCATGAAAATATATTTTTTTTTAAATATGATTTTGTGATTTGTATCTGGTTACCATGACAACATCTCCAAAAATATTGTATTTGCCTATACAATTTAGTCAATGTGATTAGTTTGTATGAAGAAAACTGTATGAGTGGCCATTAGCTAAAATAATGAAAGACACAACATTTTTTTTTGTACCTAACTTCTTTAAAACAAATATTTGGTTTCTGTGGTAACTGTGATTAACCATTTATGAGACATGATCTAATTATTTCAATTGTATTTTTAAAGCAATTTTTGAAAAATCATCTGTAAATGTACTTTTTGCTGAAATACATAGTTTACAGTAAAGAAATCTTGAAAAAATGTCAATGTAACATTATAAAGTGTATCAAATGTCAAAAAATCCATGTTCTTGACTAGATAGGCAAAATAAAATTCAAAATTTTATGTTTAAGGGGTGTAATATTAAATATTCTTGGGTGTATCCTGGTCTTGGCTTCAATAAAACCCCTTTTACATTTGGAGGAGTTTAAAAATCAATATCCTTTGTTTCTGGTCTGGATTTCTTTCAAAAAGTTTTAAACTGACAGTGTCTTTATTAGATTTTTTTGGCCATAATTTAGAAATGTGCCGTTGAGATTATCTGTATCAACTGTACAGGTACATCTATGTGTCCTGGCTGCTAAATAGGTGCTCCAGCTAAATTCCTCTGACATAATGCATGTGGTTCATTCATCAATCTGGAAAAAAATATAATTCAAAATGTGAACTTTGTTAATGAAAATAGGCATTCAGTAAAGCAATTTTTTCTTGTTGCTGTTGAAGGAGGAGAGTAGCTAAGGTTCGTTTTCTCTATGATCATGATCATGAATACAAGAAGGCCATGGTCCATAACACTCACCAGAGTAACTGGTCATTCTGTTCTACACCAGATTTTCCTACTTGTAATACCTATTGTGGTTTTGGTCTATTCTTAGGAGGAGGGGGACATGATTTAAACAATTTAGAATCTACATTATCTGGATGCTTTACACAAACAGTTTCAGCTTTTCTGACCCAGTGGCTCCCTATTTTTTCTCTTTTCTTGATTATCACCCCTTTTTATAGATTTTAATTTCTAACTTTCTACTAATTTTAGTTTCCAATATTCAAAGAAACATTTGTATGGATTGAACAAAATAATGAAGATGACATACAATAATACATCTTTCACTCCTATTTGGCTTCCACATACATGTAACTGCAGTAAAACTTGTTTAGTACAAACACGGGCATTGTGAATTAAAAGAAGTCCTCTTGGATCTCCAACTATATAAATATTACAAAATTACAAATATGGATATAACAAATTATATAACGAAGTACTTTTACAGGTCCTAGTTTGTTATAACTGAGTTGTACTATACATATATGTGTAGATAAATGATTTAACAAGAGACCCAGGGCCACATTACTCACCTGGCTTGGATAAAAATCAAAAATCAGCTTTGTATTGAAAAGCTTAAAAGCATACGTGGTCCTGACCTCTCCCTGTAAGGGAGAAAGAGAGGGGGGTATGATTGAACATAACTGAATCTACACTTAGGATGCTTACAGGGTACTTATTTTTGACTGACTGTGAGTTTTTCCCTACAAGTTTGAACACTTTTATTGTAGCCCCACCCTATACCTGAGGGGAGGGTGGGGGGGGGGGGGGTCATGATTTGAACAAATCTACACTACAAGAAAATGCTCACATAAGTATATATAACTTACTGGCTTTTCTGTTCTTTGGAAGAATATTTTTAAAGGATTTTTTCTCTATATTCTTAGTTAAACTTTGATTGGCCTTTGTGGTCCCACCCTATCCCCGGGGTCATGATTTGATCAAACTTGAATCTACACCACCTGAAAATGCTTTCATATAAATATTACCAATCAAGGCTTGCTGTATCCGAGAAGAAGATTTTAAAATATTTTTTTTTATATATTCCTATGTTAAACTCTGATCATCCCTTGTGGCCCCGTCCTACACATGGGGTTCATGATTTGAAAAATTTGAATCTACACTACCCGACAATGGTTCCACATAAGTTTCATATTTCCTGGGCTATTGGTTCTTGAGAAGATATTAGTAATGCCATTAATTTTGTAATTCTCTCCCCTTGAAGAATGACAATGACAGACAAAATACAAACTTTGATTAGAAAAGATCACTTGAGCTTTCAACTCAGGTGAGCTAAAAAATTCAGAGAATCAAGATCAGAAGAAATTTATACCTGTTTCAAAGTCTCTGAATGGTAGTGTTCACTATAATTCAGCCCTTAGTCAGAATGTGATTGATTGATTGTATACTGTTTAACGTCCCTCTCCAGAATATTTCACTATGGAGACGTCACCATTGCCGGTGAAGGGCTGCAAATTTAGGCCTATGCTCGGCACTCAGGGCCTTTGAGCAAGGAAGGATCTTTATCGTGCCACACCTGCTGTGACACGGGGCCTCGGTTTATACGGTCTCATCCGAAGGACCGCCCATTTAGTCGCCTTTTACGACAAGCAAGGGGGTACTGAGGACCTATTCTAACCCGGATCCCTAGGCCCTTGATTGCTAAACGAAAAGGAATGTTCTTAATGATAATTAAAAACAAGAGCCCCATGGGCCACATCGCTCACCTGAGCACTAAGGGTAGAAAAAAGTAGAAAATGGTTTTTTATTGTAAAGTTTAAATCCAAAAGTAGTTCCATGACCAATCATGGATTTGCTATTTTTTAGAAAATGATATTAAAAGAATTTTCCTATATATTTCTATGTAAAACTTTGGTCGGCCATTTTGGCCCCGCCCTAGCCCGGGGGTCATGATTTGAACAAACTTGAATCTACACTACCTGAGCATGCTTCCATATAAATATGATGAATTATGGCTTTGTCATTCTTGGGAAGATTTTTAAAGAATTTTCCTATATATTTCTATGTAAAACTTTGGTCGGCCATTTTGGCCCCGCCCTAGCCCCGGGGGTCATGATTTGAACAAACTTGAATCTACACTACCTGAGGATGTTTCACCATAAGTTTCAATAAATTAACTTTCCTGGCACAGTGGTTCTTGAGAAGAAGATTTTTAAAATATGCCACCAAATTTTCATTAATTCCCAATTATCTCCCCTTGAATGAGGGCGTGGCCCTTCATTTGAACAAACTTGAATCCCCTTCACCCAAGGATACTCTGTGGCAAGTTTGGTTGAAATTGGCCCAGCGGTTCTTGAGAAGAAATCGAAAATGTGAACAGTTTACAGACAGACGGACAGCTAAACAGATGGACGCCCGACAAAATGTGATCAGAAAAGCTCACTTGAGAAAGCTCAAGTGAGCTAAAAACTGCAAGTTGTAAACACAAAATACTGAATTATCTAATGATACATAAATAATATAAAGTATATGTAACACTAACGTTAGTTGAATTGATAATCTCTTCTTGGTGATTCTTTGGTTGTCCTCAATTTTTAAGTTTACACTACCTCAGCTGTGCAGGTGTTGTCAAAGGGGATTTTGAAATTCAGAACAAGGCTCAGATTGCATCTGAAATGATAACAAATCATGACATTCATCATATGACAAGAGAATGCATACATTTATATAACAATTTAGCTTTTGAATTATTGATAAAAAATATTTATTTACCTCCCCCCCCTCCCCCATGTACTAGTGATATCATCATGAATTCATACTATTAGTTATAAATTGAAAAAGAGTTCTAGTTTTGTAGGATCAAATTTTATTTTTTAAGTTTTAATCCTAAATTAGACGAAAAAATTGGCAGAAACCCATGCATATTGTATGTGCTCTCATATTTATAAATCTTTATCTTTCTATGTGTGTATATATTTGCTTGTAGGAATATTTGGGAAGCCCCCCTCCCCCATTCGGATAGGGTTTTATGGCTTTAACACCCCCTTCCCCCCCCCCCCCCATTTCAACTGATAAAACCATAACAGTATTTTATTGGTTGTTTTGCTTGTCAATTAAATTTTGTAGGACTCCCCACCCTTCTATATATATATATATAAATTCAAATAAAAGGAAATGCATTTGAAGAATATCATACACATATAAATTTGGAAATATACAGTTTGAAAGGGCACAATTTTACATTTTGATTAAATGAATAAGAAAAATAGTAATTATTGTTTTGCCATAACATCTGAGTTTTTTCAGGGCTTAATTAAATATTCACTATTTTAAGAAGGACCCATTGGCCATTCCGTAAACAGTGTTTGAAATAACTGTGCGCCTGACTGCCCGAGACGCACAAATTTTGCTGTGGGCTTACCAATTTGCACATATTGATGCCCAGCTGGACTTGTTTAAAGTTTTCATTAATTAAAATTTAATAATTTGATTAATCGCTACCAAATCAACTAATGGTTTCATGAGCAGTACAGGATTTGTGATTAAAAGGGAGGGTGGGGGGGGGGGGCGTGGATAACTTTGTTCAGACAAGGGGTCTTGATAGTGATGTTCCATAGTACAGTCATACGTTTAGTCATGCCATAGTTTGAATGAAGGGGGTCCAGGGGGCAAAGCCCCAGAAGCTCCTGAGATTTCATGTGTTTAAGAGTAAAATTAGGCAAAATAATAGTGGTATTGTATGAAAGTATAACATTATTAACATAATATTTTCCTACAGCAAAACATGGACACTATTATATTCATATGGGAGGCCGGGGGGGGGGGGGGGATGACTTATCATTTGCTCATTGCTCACAGTACCTCTAGTTTCAAAAATAAATTTTAGAAAAGACAATTATTTTCTCAGCTAGGCTGGTAGTTTTTTAGCAGGACTGATAACTTTTACTAGCAGTCAGCCTGTATGTTTGCTATCATTTTTTCTTGACTTTCCCCTTTTTCAATTTGAAAAAAAATAGTCAATATTGTCTTTGTTTAGACATTTATCTGTGTTATGTATTAAATACCTGATCTAAATATGACATCCATAGAGGCGCCGAGACATAGAAAAACTTATGCTCCATCCAATCACTGCTGTGGCTTTCACTGCTTCTTGCTATGGCTTCATGTATGCTGAGGTCGAGGATTTCTTCCAGTCGACTGTGTATATTGCAGTACTAAGGGAGTATCGACGGAAAGGAGAGATACTCATCATACTCTAATCCCCAGCAGCGGACTACTATTCAAATTCCAGTACAAAATTAAATGTTTTCCCCCAAATTAACTGAATTTAAGTAGTTTTGATGATATTGTTGAACAAGTTAGCATTTTTCAAAACACTCAAACTCTTAGCATGTTTAGGAAATGAAATTTTTGTCAGATAAAATTAAGCAAATTGCAGGCAGTTATTTTTTTTATCCTAGGATTATATTTTTCTAATAAAAATTTTAGACTTACATGCCCCTTGGATGTATGAAAACTGGCAAAACTTCCAAAATGAAGATGAAATCACACACATTTCTTAATCCTCCCCTTCTAAACTGAAGAGTTAAATACACTCTTTCCAACTCCTTTTACTAAAGAGTGCCAAGGGAGATAACTAGAATTTCATGTTTTTACATAATTTAAAATCACAATATCTATTCGTAATTAAAATAACCCATGGGTTTTTTAATTGTTTTTTACTCTTTGATACTAGATGTTCAATGTTTTATAATTCACATTCAAGGAGAGTGCGGGCCTTCTTAAAAAATCACCTGCACGTACAGACACCTTTCAATGGATACTGTTGACTGTTTCAGTATATATTGAATTCATTTTTTAATCAACTATGCATGAAATCCATTTATAACTGTGATCAAGTATTTAGTTTGATGTACATCAATGTAAATATGATAGTTTTTGAAAAATCTATCACTATCATGAATCACTTATTTTCATTTCTGCCTGGTTCTTATAAATAGCTGTACTTAAAGTTTTTATAACCTTGTGTGTGCTATAATAATGTTTAACATTTGATAATTAGATATCTCTATTCCTTTTGCTCGTCCGATATGCATAGATTCAAGCAATAGCAAACAATTATGTTTGAAACGCTCCCCTTACACTTCCGTAGACAGAAATAGAATTTATGAATCGTGTTTATATTGGACTGGCACAAGTGAAAGACAAGGATAAATTGAAGATATTTTGCGTGAATCTAAAAAAGAAGTAAGTCTTCTAACTGAATTTTGCTGGGGGATCCTATGTAGTTTATCCGTTTATGTATAAATCGCGATAAAGAGTGGAAAATACCCCTTCTTACGTTGGTAATTTTAATTTATCGTAAAGTATTTTCTTCAGAAGGAAAAATTAAACCTGACCCCTTTTTACTTTTTAAGTACCGTGGATCACGATGAATTGATCTGTGTAACAAACTTTGCACAATATTTGTGTTATGCACTTGTGCCGATGCAATTTTTGTGCAACATTTCA